CCCACCTTACCATGAATGAGAGCTGCTTGAAGGTCCCCTGTAAACTGTTGATAGGATTCATACTGGGAAATGTCTGAGAGACTGTGGCTGACTACCTACTCAAACAGAACAAGGAGAAACGGCTGCACTGCATTGTTACCAGCCTGACTTTATACCCAAACTTCATCAGGACAAAGGATGAGGCTTTTTCCTGTGGACCTGATAACAGCACAGGTCTGGAATCAGCTTTAAAAGGACTCTGCCCAGGGGCTGGCCATTTAGCACATTTAAGAGAGTGGCGTTGGTAACAGCAAGGTCAAGGGTTTGGATTGACCTTACGGCCAACTGCCTCCCCCTCCAAAGAAAGACTTTGTCCAATAGGGTTGCACATTTGGATGACAATAGAAAGTACACAGGGTGAAGAAACTAATGGCTGGAAACTCAAGGCTGAGGGCAAATTGTAAACAGCTGGCTGGATGTATTGCCTACTATAGCAGAGACTGCTAGCACACCAGCAGATAAGTAGGTTGGCACACAACTAGTTAGATGTGGCTATATGACAGACTTGTAGCCAACAGAATATGAGAAAATAGTAATGTAGGTCACTTTCATGCCTGTCCCATAGAAACTTCCCACATGTGTTTCTGGCACTTTCCCCCTTCTTACTCCATGCAAAAAGCACAGATTTTACTTAATAGTTACTATATACTGACTGCCTAATTGGAGATGGGTTCTTTTTCATACATTATCTATTCCAACATATCCATACTGGATGGTAAGAAACACAATTCAATCAGATACTGCCTCCTGAGAATTATGAATTCCAGCCAGAAATGAAAAAGCAACAGATGGCTGTCTTCTTCTGAAACTATGATGAAAACTGAAGTCATCAGAGCTATCTTCTTGGTAGGCGGATTGAAGGGGATCAGTGGGGCAATTCTGGCATCCTCAGTGACGAGGGACCATCAGTCCAGTTCTCTATGGAGCCTACTGCACATTCTAAGTTAGGAGCAATGGGATCTGAGACTTTATATGGTTGTTTAAATGGTTTCCTTATAATGAATTCCCATCACCTGAGGTCATGCTTCTTGAACTGGGGGATACACACCTATGACTATAGTAAACAGGGAACTGTGAGAAGCCACAGATTAAACAGCAGTCTCTCTCCCTAGAACAGCAACATTATGATGTGAATTCAAAACAGCATCAACCATAAACATATTATGAAATTGGATGCAAAAGTCAAATAAATTTTTAAGGTATATTAGAATTCAAAAAATTTCACTTTTCTAAAGTGTTAATTCAGGCTTTATGTCGGATATCACAGGAATATTCATTTACCTCTGCTGTTAAAAGATATTCCAGTGGAGAATTGGAGAAGCACCAACCTGTGGTAACTTACAAGATTCTTTTCACAGCATCTGAAAGTCTAACTCAGTCATTTAATGTGAATTTTTTTCTTGCTCCTACTAGACTTTAAACTGCACTAGCCTAAGATGTTTACCCTTCTTTATATCCTTTGTGGTAGGCTGAATAATGGCCCCTAAAGATACTGAAGGTCCTAATTCCTGGAACCTATAAATGTTTCATTATATGACAAAAGGGACTTTACAAATGTAATTAAGGATCTAGAGATAGAGAAGTTATCCTGGATTATCTGGGTGAACCTTACAAGTACCTTCATGGCGGGGAGGCAAAGGGAGATTTGACTACAGAAGAGAAGGTGCTATGATGATGAAAGCAGAGATTGAAGAGATGTGCTTTAGAGGAAGAAGCCATAAGCCAAGGAAGATAGACGGCCACTAGAAGATGAAAAAAGAAAGGAAATGCATCTTCCTCTCAGAACCCCAAAAGAAATCAGTCCTGTGACACCCTGATTTTAGCACAGCAAATCTGATTTTAGACTTCTGACCTCCATAACAGAATAAATTTGTGTTGATTGAAGTCACTAAATCTGTGGTAAATTGTTATAGCAGCCATACTAAATTAATGCATCCTTTTAATGGTTTGGCAGTGATTTGCACATAATCCACCTTAAAATGTTTAGCTGACTTAACATGAACATCATTCCAGTAGAGAAACAGACATTCTCTTGTTTGATATCAAATAATGAAAATGTAAAAAATACACAGAAATCATTGAAAATTCCAGTAGAGAAACAGACATTCTCTTGTTTGATATCAAATAATGAAAATGTAAAAAATACATAGAAATCATTGAAAATGTAATTCTTTAAAACTCTATAGTTAATTAAAGTCTTGCTTCTCTCAAAAAAAAAAAAACTTAAAGGAAAAAAGTAAAAAAAATCAGTATCTTCAGTCCTATATGTA